TTCCCCGCCCCGCAAGCGGCAGCGCCTGGCCCACCTCAGCCCGGAGGAGAAGGCCATGCGCCGGTGAGGCGGATGCTGGGAGTTGTAGTCCAGGGAGGCGGGGTCCCGCCGGTCCGGAGAGTTGGGGGGGGAAGAAAACCTACTGGGAGTTGGGGGTCGGAAAACGGGGCCGTGTGGGGTGGGGGAGGCGGTTTCATCGCCATCCGGACGATGGGACTTGTAGTCCGAAAGCGTCCCCCAGAGCCAGAGGGTCGGAGGAGAAGGAAGAGGGCGAGTGGGGAAGCCTTGTCCCTAAAGAGGAAGTTTCTTCTTCTGAAAAGTGAGGCTGGAGGAGGGAGAGGTAGGGAACAAGGCTTCCCCCCCCTTGAGGCTGGAGTGGATTCTGGGAGTTGTAGTCCAAGGCGGGAAGAATTCGAGGCTAGGAGGGGGCAGGTGTGATTCTGGGAAGTGTGAGCAAGAAGCAGGCTGTGCGGGGGTGTGTGGAGGTGACCCAGGCTAACCAGCTGTTTGCTCTCCCCCCCTCTCTCTCTCCTCTTCCCTGGGTAGGAAGTTGAAGAACCGGGTGGCTGCCCAGAGTGCCCGTGATCGCAAGAAGGCACGCATGGGGGAGCTGGAGCGGCAGGCGGTGGAGCTGGAGGCCGAGGTGAGCCCAGGGAGGAAGAAGAAGCCCTTGCCTTCCCCTGGATCGGGGCGTTCGGTCACACATGCCAGCATGGGGCCAAAGGAACAAAGCGTTCTCTGTTCCAAGTGGGACTTCTTGGGAGCGTCCTTCCGTTCGGCTGGGTTCTAGCAGTTGAAGTCCAGATCCGGGAACGCTGGGCTGCCTTTATAGGTAGGAGAGAAAGGCCCTGGTGTCAGCATGGAAGAGCTGCCCCCCTTTTAATGCCCTCTCGTTTCTCATTCCTCTTTTCACCCCGTGCAGAACCAGAAGTTGCTAGCCGAGAACCAGCTGTTGTGGGAGCGAACGCACAGCCTGGCCTTGGAGAACCAGGAGTTGCGCCTTCGCCTCGGCCTCCCTGCCCTGGAGAGCAGCGAGGGGGCCACCAGAGCAGCCGCCGCCCCCGCCCCCCTGGGGGTCAAAGTGAGTGAGGAACGGAGGGAGCCCTCCAGCCCCAGAACAACCAGGCTGGAAGCCTTCCCGGCTCACCCGAGCTTTGCTTTCCCTGCCCAGGTGGAGACGCCCCATCCCCACAAGGAGGAGGAGGAGGAGAAAGATGAGGAGGAGGAAGAGGAGAGGGACGGGACCCTCTCCCCCAGGTCGGCGACCGGGTCCGCTGAGTCTGCAGCACTTAGACTACGTGTTCCTCTGCAGCAGGAACAGGCCCAGCCGTCGCCTGCCTTGGGGGTGCAGGTGGACCCCTCTATCTGGATGTGGACACATCTGATTCTTCAGACTCTGAGGTGAGCCCCCCACCCCATCCTCTTGGCTGATGGTCCTTGAGTTACGGGGAGGGGGGAGACACGATACAGAAAGGAAGTGGCAGCTGAACAGAGGAGGCCCGGAGAGTGTCGCTTCGACTCAGCCTTCAGAGGCCTGGTGGGGAAATGGGAAGTTCTGGCCACGTGGCTCCTTCCCGGTCTCCCCGCTGGGGCTGGGCTGGGCCTCTCCTCCCCTCCGAGGCCAGGCTTGGCGTTGCGCAACAGCTGCCACAGAGAAGGGGAGACGTTTGGGGCTCCGTTGGTGGGCCGGTGACCCCATTTTGAGGAAATGGGACTCCTTGCTGTCTGCCGGGGCTTAAAACAGCTCCCTTTCTCACCTGCGCGTGTCTTCTTCTTCTTCCACAGTCTGATCTCCTTCTGGGGCTTCTGGACAGCCTGGACCCAGACCTGTTCCTGGGCTGCCCCGGCCTGGACCCATCCTGCCTGGAGAAGCAGCATCAGCCGCCACCAGAAGCGCCTCCTCGGGGAGAAGCGGGTTCCTTACCAGCCTCCCCCGGTTCCCCTCTGGGGGCCTCACCATCCCAGCTGGAGGCCATTAATGAACTGATCCGCTTTGACCACGAGTACACCAAGCCCTTCTTCCTGGAGTTGGTGAGGATCGAAGAGGCGGCCGCTTCCCCCGCGGAGGGGAGCCCCCTCGAGCCCCCCGTCTCTGTGAAGGAGGAGGAGCCCTCTGAGGGTCTCTTCCCGCAGCTGGGGATCTCGCACCTCCTGGCCTCTGACCGGTGGCCGGCCGGCCTGCTGGAGGCTGCCAGTGACTCCGGCTACGAAGGCTCCTCTTCCCCCTTCAGCGACCTGGCCTCCCCCCTGGAGCCAGAGTACACCTGGGAGGAGGCCTTTGCCAAGGAACTCTTTCCCCAGCTGATCAGCGTGTGAAGGAGGGCCAGGCTTCTCCAGCCCCCTCCCTCCTGCCTCTGCGCCCCCGTCCTCTCCCCCAAACACACACATACACACACACACCGAGCCAAAAGGGCAGTTGTCTGGAAGGAACATTCCTCTCAAAAGTGTTTTGAGCGCCACACGAAGTATTCGTCCCGTGGGCCCCTTTCCCTGCCTGACCTTTGCCAAACAGAGGGGGTCTCAGAGCCCCCCCTCTTCAGAGAGTTCCGTTTCCTTGGGTGAGAACACTGGGACACATGGAGCGCATGCGCAGTTATTGAAGGGTCCCTCCCATGCGTCTCTCCTTCCATTGTGTAAATAAGATGAGGTGGGAAATAAATCTTTTGTAAAGAAATATATATATATACATGCTTTTTCGACATAGCTTATTTTCCTGTTGCTTATTTAAAAATCATGTGTGCAATTAAAATGCAATGCAAGGGATGTGTTGCCTCATTTTTCCCTTCTCTCGGGTGATCAGAGTGGGTGGGGGAATAAAATACGTTTCACAGCACCAGCTGTCAAATCTATGCAGGAGAAAAGGGAGGGGAACTGAAATGGGGTCGTCGTCATCACTGGTGATGACACATTTTCCTAGCATAGGAAGAGGGTGACGGACAAGCAAGAGCCGCATATTTTATACACACACACACACGAGTTGCTGCAAGTCAGAAGTGGGTTGACGGCATTTAACAGAAGACTTGCAAGACTGTTCCCAGAATGTTGCAGAAGTGGGGCAAGGTCTCATCCTGCTGGCCTAGAATTTCCTCCCTCTTGGGGGTGGCAGTGTTTCACAGATGGTACACACGAGTTGCTGCAAGTCAGAAGTGGGTTGACGGCATTTAACAGAAGACTTGCAAGACTGTTCCCAGAATGTTGCAGAATCGGGGCAAGGCCTCATCCTGCTGGCAGTGTTTCACAGATGGAGGCACCCTGGCCAGATCCACCAGCTGCAGGGCAGGCGATGCAGAGATTGGTCAGGAAGATGGCAAGCTGCGCAGCATCTGTCTGAGCCACAGGAGGGGGCTGGCTTGCATTTGGCACAGAATCCTGCCCCTCCCAACTCACAGCCTGCCTTGTAAAGGCCCCAAAGCTAGCTCAACCGGACAAACCAAAGGATCTAAAAGACAAATGACTTATGTTGAGAGCCCTCCCACCTTCTGGTTTCAAACTCTGGATCCAGCAGTTGCCCTTGAGCTAAAAGCAAGGCTCTCTGGGCGCATATTTTATACGCTTTCTCGGCCCGTCGCTTTCTCGGCCCGTCTCTGCCCCACAATGCGCTTTGTCCTGTGGGACCAGCATCCTTCCTTACCAGCCGCTCGGTCAGGCTCCAGCCTAGCTCCCGCCAGATGCACCTTGGCTAGGAAGCAGGACGCTCCTGGCTGCCCCGTGCCGTCCCTTTCCTCTCCTCTCGCACACTGCTAAAGCTTTCTGGAACTTCGCCTCTTCTGTGCATTTTTAAGACCTTTGCGTTCTCAAACCAATTTCAGCAGCACAATTCCTAAGCCGTCCCTGGGCCCCTAAAAGCAGCCAACCTGGCCATTATCTATTTTTGGTGTCTCAGCAGGTGAGGAAGGGGTCCGACCAGGGGTCAGGAGAGGTCCGTCCTGCTGGTGCCGGAGGACCTCAAGTCATTGGCCTGCTGTCTCTCCCATGCTGGACACTAGAAACTGCACAAGAAGTCCTTCTACAAACATGAAAAAAAAAGTTTATTAACAGAAATTGTGACTTGGTCCAATGGAAAGACAGACCACAATCTCACGTTGCTTATTCCAAACCAAATATCCAGCGCAAAAGGGGGCGGGGGGGGGGGGTCCCAAAGCATCCCCTCAAAGTCTTTGCAGGATGCTGAGAGAGGCAAGGAAGCAAGGAAAAGGCCCCCTGTTGAAACACAAAACCACCCAAGCAGGTAAATGGCTTCCTTGCAAATCATTTACAAGCCAAGCCGCATGAGCTGGCAACTCAAGGAACAGGAGAAAGAAAGAAACTGCCGGACAGAAAAGCGTTTGCTGAAAAGGTGGGGTGGGGGGGGACAAACGTTTAGAAGCAAAACATTCTGCGAGCAAGTTTTGCCTGCCGGCCACACCTTTGGAACAGCCCGCCTTGTGTTCCAGTAGATTCTGTTTCCTTAGAACCTCTGGCGGGGTTTCCCTCGTGGAGAGAAGGCCAGTGGGGGGGGGGGAGCCGCTGCCGGCAACAGAACGTAAGCCCCCTTCGAGCGCCTGAAAGTGAAACCTTAGAGGCCCCTCCCGACGTCGCAACATTATTCCACGACCTTATGAAAATGGGGAGGGGGCATGATGGGCGGGAAAGGACCCGTCGTCCGGCGGTCGGGCGCACGTGCCGACAGCGTTGGTCCTCCAAGCAGTTCTGGATGGAGAGAGCCGCTGCCGGCAACAGAACGTAAGCCCCCTTCGAGCGCCTGAAAGTGAAACCTTAGAGGCCCCTCCCGACGTCGCAACATTATTCCACGACCTTATGAAAATGGGGAGGGGGCATGATGGGCGGGAAAGGACCCGTCGTCCGGCGGTCGGGCGCACGTGCCGACAGCGTTGGTCCTCCAAGCAGTTCTGGATGGAGAGAAGGCCCGCGTTGGCTTCCAGGCAGGGTGGGGACCTGGCGCTTTCGTGCCCCGCCCTCTGGGTTCCCGGGCTTGACCGGCCAAAGGGTCCGAATCCAGAAAAAAGCAGCGCAAGGCGCTTGGACGAGGGGCCCTTCGGACAGGTGCCTTCGGGACGGTGAGAGCACCAGCACACGGCAGGACGGCCGTCCCCGAAGCGGAGAAGGGTTTGCATTTACGAAGGTCTCCGACCCAGGCCTTCAACGCCGGATTCAGCCATCTTAAAAACCGCTCGCGGCCAAAGCACCGTCCTCCCTGAGGGCCGAACTCCACGCCGTGTTTGCCTCTCGGCGTCAAGAGCAGGAAGGTCAGCCGTGGGTGGCCCCGTCAAGCCCACAGGCCTGCTCTGGTCTCGCCACGGCAGTGGAAAGCAAGCCACGCTCGGTGGCAACCTCTTCTGATGCTCCAAGGGAGGGGGGGGGAACCTCGCCAGAAGGATGCCCTTTCCCTCCCTCGCCTCCGCCCGCCACGGAGCCCAAGCGGACGGGAGCACAAAAGCGGATTGTCTCCAGGCCTCCCGAGGTGGCCCCTGTCCTTCCCAAGGAGACTCCAGCGCTTACGGCTCAGCAGGCAGGAAAGGGTGAGAGGAGGCAGAACCGCACAAGGGGACGCCACAGGGAGGCAAGAGAGGAAAGCCGTGGCCTAGACGCACGCAAACACACCCGACGACCCCTTCGCGCTTGGAGGGAGCCCTCTGGCGCAGGGCGCAGGTGTGGGACCTTCTGCTCCAGACCTCGGCCGTGCAAGGCAAGGAAGCTGCCCCTCGAGCTTCGTCCCTTCCGCCTCCTCCTCCTCTCACAGCTCCATTTCCTCCTCCGCGGCCGCTGGGGGCTCGGCCGCCCCATAGAGGAGGGCAGAAGGCATCTTGGGCGGGAGCGGGGCTGGCGGAGGAAAGTCCTCCCCCAGGGAGAGGAAGGGGGCTTCGAGAGGCTCCGGCTCGGCCAGCCCCCGCTCGGCCAGGGCTGGCGCTTTGTAGTTCTTGACCGAAACGGAGGGCTTGGCTCGCTCGGTGATGAATTCCGGGAGGGGCCTCCAAAGGACCAGCTCCATGGAGGGGCGGCTCCTGAGCGGGACAGGGAAAGATGGGCGGCGATCAAAACCCGTCCCCTCCGGCCAGAGTGATCAAAACCCATCCCCTCCGGCCAGAGCCCTCCGATCTTCAGCGGCCTTTCGGGGATGAAGGCTGAGCGGGGCCGTTTTGACCCCAAGCTGCCTCCCCGACGGAGCCCAGAGAGGGGGACGGAATCCGTCCGGTCCGGTCGCCTCCGCCCGCGGGCCCCCCCTCTTCGGCCCTTTCACCGGCCGCGTAACTTACATGGACTCGATAATCTTCTTGGTCAGGACGCTGTCGTAATCCTGCTTCAGCCCCGTTTTCAGCGTATCGGACAAGACCAAGGTGGGCAGGCTGTTCCCCCGGCTTTCGGAAAGCGCCTTCGCCGCCGCCTGGTCTTCCTCCTCCTCGTCAATTATCCTGGCAACGGGAAGGAGGAGAAAAACCCTGGGGTGACCCTCTCTCCCTGCCGGGGAGGGTCTTTTTAATTTTAGAGGGGAAAAGCAGGTCCGCTTACGCTGGATGGAGAACGGGGAACGTCTACGTGAATTCTGTGAATGAAGAAATAATGGGAAGACGCCTGGGCGTCTGGGCATCGGGGTGCGTGTGTGTGTACGGGGGGGGCACTCACCTGTCCTCAATCTCCTGCAGCCTCCGTCGGGCGGCCTCGCCCTGGGGCTCCACCATCACCTGCTCCATCTCTTCGCAGGGCACCTCCAGCGGGCCAGGCAGGCAGGTGAGGGCCTGGGCCGTGGGCTGCCCCCCACGGAGGGCCCAGTCCGCCATGCCGGGGGCCGAGGGGCCAGGATCCGTCTCTCCCACCAGCCGCTTCTTTGCCACTGGGCAGCTGCGGAGGGAAGAAGAACAAGGAGTGGGTCCACAGGGGGTGAGGAAGAGGAGGGGCAAAGGGGGAGAGCTGCTGGCAGGTGGCCGGAGGGGGGGCATCCTCGCCCCAACCCACCTTTGCCCTCCCCCACCACCACCAAGGCAGGCAGCCGGTGGACCC